GTCTGTACATACTGCATGCTGTGGATGCTTCTGTCCTTGCTTGTGAGATAGTAGGGGGAGTAGCCCAAAGGAAATGGTGGAACGATGGAGATGGAACTTGGGCAGTTATGCTTCTTGCTATTACTAAGATTTTGGAACTAAACTTAATTTTGATATCATTATGACACTTTACAAGAAACCGCATCAGACTCCTACAGCAATGGTAATGTGACTGATCAGAGTGGCAACAATCATTCGACCTGCTGCATTTTGAAGTCTATGAAATGAAGGTATTTGGGAGAATTTCAAAAGTCAGGCAGTGAGATAATGTAAGTGTTGACCAGTCTGACTATCTTATTAGCACTTTCTTTTTGAAGTATCTGCAGTTCTGTTGCTTACTCTTGGGGATGTTAAATTATTTTGCAGTTAATTTTGAATAATTAAAAGTAATATTAGTCTATTGGCTGTAGAATTGAAGACACTCTCACTTATTTATATTTACATTTTAGGTTACCACATTAGTGAATTGCCCACAAACCCCTTCTAATCAGAAAAAAGGATGTTCTAAAAGAGCCCGTGTCCTCCTAGCTTCTGTGGAAAAAGCGACTTGGAATCTTTTGGACAAAGGGGAGAAAATTACTAAGGAAGCCATTGTATTTAAGGAGGAACTTAATGCAGCACTTGATGATGTTCGTAAAGAAAGTAAGTACAGGACCCATTGTGATGCATAAACAGGTGCTTAAAGAATTCAGCTTTACATCATTTTTGTTAGCATTTCTATAACAGGTTGCTGGTGCAATTTCATCTAATTAGCTCTTGCCCTGTTAGCGCCAATCAAGGGGAACAGATTGAGGCAGATGAAAAGGTCTGATAGTGGCCTGAGGATTGGCAACACCTTCTGGCCTGAGGAGCCAAGGGCAATAAAGCAGGGATGGGGAACCTATGGCCTGCGAGCTGGATCTGGTCCGTGGCTCCTTGATCTGGTCTGTGAGGCCGGGATTTTCCCCTCCTCTCCCTGCTGTGGGGGGACGCAGAGAGACCTGATGCTAAAGCCCATAGGTAGCCAGCTCTGCCTGGCAGAGGGAAGGAAGTGGCTCTGCGTGCTGCCATTCCCCCTCCTCCGGTTGGCACAGGGGCCTGCAGGCTTTCCCCTCGCCACTCCCATTTGCAGGGATTTGTGGCAAAGGGGAACAGTGGGGGGGGCAGTGCCTACAAGCACAGAGCCATGTGGGGCCATTTGTTGCCCCCTCCCTTGAGCTCAACCAAGTAAGCATCCCAACCCCTGCTCTTTCCTCCCCCTCAGACCCTACACCAGGGGGTGGGGAACCTTTTTTGCGTTGGGGGGGGGGCTGCTGATCCACAGAAAAATAAGTTGGGGCTGGGGTGCCCGTGTGGCCTCCCCATTGCTGGGGGAGGCTCTACGCTTCAGGGGCCAGATCCAGGCCTTACGTTCCCCACTCCTGCCCTACACCCTAACATCTACCTAGACTCTGCCTCACCCCACTATTGCACCCTCCCTCACTCTCTTTCTTCCTCACACCCTGCTACTGCACCCACCCTTCATTCCCTCACAGCCCCCCCACCCTTACTCTACTCCTGCATTTTACTTCCTGCTCAGACTCTGCAGCACTACCCAAGTCTGCTCCCTGCCAGTTCCCTCCTAAACACCGCATCTTTCATTGTTTGCCCTACCCCAGAGTCTTGGGGCGCCCCCCCAAATATATTTTCCCCAGGCCTCCAGAAGAGTTAATCCAGCCCTGTGAGAAAGTCCTGAGACTTGTCACCCCTCCCCCCCAAACCCAGCACTGGAGCATGACCGGAATCCTGGTGTCCCACATTGCATGAGTGAAGTGAAATCTCCATGTATGTGTGTGCATGAGGGGGCACGTGCTCCAAATGCTGTGGGCAGGAGGAGCAGGGGTCCAGCCATCAGGCAGTGAGGTGATTAGAGGGTGCAGCAGCCTGGCGCCCACACCAAGGGTCTGGGGCCTCCCTTTCTCTCAACTTCAGCAGTCACATGGCCAGTGGCCCCCGTTGCTCTTAACCAGTCACCCCTGATTTACACTGTGACCTAGGGGAAAATTCCTTCCTTATCTCCAATATGGTGATCTGTCAGTCCCTGAGCATATTAGCAAGATGCACCAGGCAAACACTGGGAAATGAATTCTCTGTAGTAACTCAGGGCCCTCCTCGTCTAGTGTCCCGCCTCCAGACATTGGGGATTTTTGCTACTGGCAGTCGCCAATGTAGCCAATGCCATTGTAGGCAGTCTCATTCATAACTTACCAAGCTAAGTCTTTAAGTCAGTTAGATTTTTATTTTGCTTCCACTGCTCCCCTTGGCCTTCACCTAACCTTGAGCCTAAAATAAATTTTATTTGCTCAGATATAGTAGAGTTGCCAGTTTTTTACCTGACTCTGTTTGCAGTCCTGGCTGTAGTCCAGATTGGAGCAGAAATTTCAAAGAATCTGGTTTTGTATTTGCTGTGATGTCAGTCTCCTCTCTTCTCATTACCCTTCTTGGTTATATAGCTCATTGAAATGAACATGTGCTGTTTATAGTTTATTTAAAATCATTTAAAAGATGGTCATGCTTTGATAAGACTGAATCTGGTTAAATTAACAGAGATGAGTGTTATGAACCAATTTCTCTTTATCATCTTATTTGGAAGAAAATATATAGCACCCTTCCAAGGCTAGAAGAAGAGGTTTTTGGGTGAAAAATGTGGATTTAAGTAGACCCCATACAAAAATTGTTGGTTTTGCTTAATTTCTGACATAAAACTAAGTAAGCTTTGCCTGTTTCAGTTGAAGCATTTTTGAGTTTTTGCACTCTTATGTGCATTGAATCTCAAGTGAATGCACTGTTGAATTTTGCACCTCTCCTACTCACATAAAGTGATTTTCTGTAATACTTAAGATGGATTATTTTTATGATAAATAGATGAACAGAGTTCACTGAGGTCTATGTACTTGGACATTAATTTTAGGTGTATCATGGAGTCAGACTAAGGAAAGTGATTCAGGGGACTTATAGCAGATGTACATAATACCATTCTAATAGAGTCTCAGTTATTCAGGGGACTTATAGCAGATGATGTACATAATACCATTCTAATAGAGTCTCAGTGCTGTAGAGTTTTAACTTCCTGAAGGATCATGTAAATCCTGTTAATGTAAAAAAAGATGGGCCAAATTCTATTCACTTGCGAAGGGGCAGTGATGTAATGAGAGCAGTGTTTGGCACATTTTAAAAAAACTGTCTGGCTTCCAGATTGCAACTTAGAGCATTGGCATTTTTAGAAAACACAATAAAAAGTTAGTCATACAATCTAATATTCTATCATTTACAACATACTACTATACTACTTCTGTGGATGATATCCCAGATAACCCCCATTAAAAGTCATGGCAGAATTTGGACCATTATCTATTGCTGCAATTTTCTAAATTAACAGCAAGTTTTGTGTTTAATGTGCATGAATTTCTTAAGCAACTATGATACCAATGTCTCAACTTCAGTTAGCTTTTCTGCTAATTTGCAAATTTAATTTTTAGAGACAACATTTGTACGCTATTATATTTCACTTTATATTTTTTTTTCATTTGTAAGCTATTATATTTCACTTTATATTTTTTTTTCAAATACATGATAAAGTATGTAGCCATGGAACTTATGCTCTAAACAGTCTTGTAGACAGACATAATTACCAAATGTATCAGAAGCATGCTATGCTTTTACAGTAGCCTTATAATAGAAACAAGCTAGAAAGAAAGAGATCTAGTTACAATAGTCTTAGGGTGCATTAAGACATATTCCTCCAGGATATGTCTACACTGCAGTCCAATATGTGACTAGCATTGGTAGACATACCTATGCTAGCTTCCTCCAAAGCTATCATGGCTAAAAATAGAAGTGTAGAGCTGGTGGCATGAACTTTGGAACAGGCTATGTTGATGTTCTGAAAATGCTAAGTATATATGCACCTTGCTAGCCCATGCCAAAATCTTGGCATCTGAATCTACACTTGTAAGACATACTAGCATGGGCTAACCTATTGTAGGTATGTCTACCTGTGCTGCATTCATACCTCAAACATCAGTGTGGACATACTCTGAGTGTGCAAAGCTTTAAACTTTGGAATAACAGACTTCAATCCCCAAAATGTCATCTTTTCCAAGGAGCCATTAATAAACCAAGTAGCATGCAGCTATAGCAAACTGGGCTTCAATTCAGAAAACACATTAGCTGAAATCCTGACCTAGTGAAAGTAAGGAAAGTTTTGCCATTGATTTCAAGAAAGCCAAGGTTTCACCCATTGAATTCAGTGGGACTGAATGTACGCTTAACTATAAGAATGTGGTTAAGTGTTTGTCCTTGAAAAGAGATGCTTTCCTGAATCATCTTTTACATGAAACCTGAAAAATCAGTCTTAGCTGCACTTTATGGACATGGAAAGACTAGGAACAGGGGTTTTTCCCTATTGTACTTGGCCAATACTTTCCAAGGCTCCATTGATATTCAGAGTAGCGATCACGTATTACTTGGCTTCTACTCGAGGAATGGCTACATTGCTAAACTTGTGCAAAATGGATACGGCTTCTGAATTTTTGGCATGAAAAGAGGGAATGTCAGATATTATTAACCATCATGCATATTCTGTTGAGGCCTTTTGAAAAAAATCACTTCTTATAGAGCACTCTTAAAATTGTAGCCTATCCTTTCCTGTCCTATTATGAGATAACATATAGTTTTATTGATTTTTATACATAGATAATATAGAAATATATCAGAGTTTGAATGTATTTGACTCTGAGCTAGGACAAGAAATGACTACAATAATAGATGCATAAAGTAGATTACCTATAGCTCTTACATATTTAAAGAAAGTTAATTCAGTGTTACCTCCTATCATTGTGCAATGACAAATTAAGTGCTCACAAGCAATTTTCTTCCAATGATTTGTTAAACTATTTAAGTTAATATTAAGGAGCTGAACTACAGTACTATTCATACCAGTTTGTTCACACTGTAAACATTGATAGTTCTCTGCAGTTGTATATTGGTTTAACTTGTGGCATGCAATCTAGGTCATAATAACTTCATTGCCTATTACTCATATCATACTCTGCTGGTGTTAGAGGTCTTATTTACTTTAGTGTCTTTGGAAGATGTACACCATAAATCCTGATAAACTATGTATGTAGTGGGCTATGTATGTGATCTTATTTACTTTCTTTGGAAGAGGTACATCATAAATCCTGATAAACTATGTGTGTGTCATGTATGTAACAGCATACAGTCTTTAATTTTCTCTGGGCATCATTTTTTATGGTGACAGCCAAGTGATTTATTTATATGACTTTTTCATGAATTATAGGATGTTTGCAACTAGATGTCACTTACTTGGTGCTCATATTGGAATTTTAAAATGTTCTGGATAAATTAGCTCACTACAAAGCCAAGTTGTCTGTTGGCTGCAGACCAACAGGAAGATGATACAAATGCAGTCTCTTATCTGCTTGCATTTCAGCTGATATCACTCAAGAAGGTTCTGTAAGAGCTAAGGAATTTGTGAAATGTGACATGAGTCAAATTCTTGTTTCTTTTTGCTGGTGCCAGACCAGGATAGAGGTGCTGGACTCATTTTTTGGAGTTTTACAGCTTCAAGGCTCACACTTACAGAAACTTTTTATCAAGAT